AAAGTAATGCATTTAAATAATGAGTCAGACTCTACCAATTTAGTTTTATTGTGTTTATCTGAGTTGTAGATGGCCTTATTGATTTGAATTGCTCTAATGTGTCTAATGAACCAGTGCTGGAGACACACACAATATAAATCTGATTAATTACTGTGAATTAACAGGATCTGCCGAAGAGATGAACAATAAAGCATGCCAGTGAAAAAGAACAGGGGTGAAATCCTGACCCCATTGAAGTCCCACATCAAAACTCCCATTTGACTTCAGTGAGCCAGAATTTCAGCCAGCTCTTTCCTTGCTCCTTCTCAAACCTAAGGCTTTCTCACTGGATGTGTTTGTAATTTTTTGGGGAGGAGGGGAAGGGTCTCCTCAATTTCCCCTGCCATCTGGCCAGGGAAGACCGGACATTGCTCTCTCTTCAGTTTACCAACTTGGTACCTTAAACTGGCCAAAAGGAGTCACTAGAGAGCAACATGAGACCCTCTTTCCTTTCACTCTAGTTTGCATCACATTCAACACATTAAGAGCGGTAGGAATTGACAGTGCTCTGTACCTGGCAGGATCAGCCCTGAATACTGGTTTGATAGACTGTGAAACCACTCCCTCTAACCCAGCATTTCTCAAACTATGGGTTGGGACCCCAAAGTGGGTCACAACCCGTTTTTAGTGGGGTCGCCAGGTCTGGCTTAGATTTGCTGTGGCCAAGGGCCGAAGCTGAAGCCACACCACTTGGGGTCGAAGCCTGACGGCTTGAGCCTTGGGTGGCGGGGGGTCAGGTCACAGGCTCCCTTCCTGGGGCTGAACCCCTTGGGCTTTGGTTTTGGACCCCCTGCATGGGGCGGTGGAGCTTAGGCTTTGGCCCCCCCCATCCTGGGCCATGGGGCTCGGACGGGCTCAGGCTTCTGTCCCCACTCCTAGGGTCATGTAGTAATTTTTGTTGTCAGAAGCAGGTCGCGGTGCAATCAAGTTTGAGAGTCCCTGCAATGGTGTACTCTCCAAGAGCTCAGTTCAGTTTGTGCTATCTTCCACCTTCAGTGTTGTCAGCCCGACTCCGCACTATTAAAGTCAATGGGATTTTTGCTACTAAGTGGTAGAAGAATTGCATCAGTTCCAATGGCTGCATATTTCTGGGAGGAATAAAGTGATTGATAGATCCCTTATTTACCTCACAATAGTGCTGAGAAGCTTATTTAATATTGATAAAGATTTTCTTTAATTAAGAAGGATGTTTGTAGTAAGGATTAGAGATCCTCAGGTGAAAAGTGTTGTAGAAATTCAGTGTATTATAAAGTAAGCAACCTCCTTGTTTGAGACCATTTCATCATAACCTCATTCAGTTGAGTACAGTTCTGTTCCATCTTGATTAGAAAACAGCCTTTGGTAAGCAAGTGATTTGTTGAGACCTTATGTGATCGCTTCAGACAGGTTTCACTGAAATGTGGTAGGACTCTTGAATTTTGTGTTCAGTTTTGTTTTGGGGAGGCATTGTGATAATGTGTGGTTTAAACAAAACCTGATTTGTCAATATCATTAAAGGATCTAGGGCAAGAGTTTCAAAAATAGATGCCTAAAGTTAGGCTCCTAAATCCTTATTTAGGCTTCTAAATCCTTATTTAGGCTTCTAAATAAATGGCCTGGTTTTCAAAAGTGCTGGGCATACAGCACCTGCTGAAATCACTGGTAGCACTTTTGAAAATCAGGCCATTTATTTAGGCGCCTAACTTCAGTCTCCTAGTTTTGAAAATTTTGGTCCTATTGATAGTTGTTTTTTTAAGCTCTTTTTGAGGTTAGGAAGCTGTCCTTTGCCCTCCAGGAAAATTACTTTCCAGTGCAATGGCTTTGTTGTAGTAAGTTTTGTTTAACCATTTTGTCATAAGTTTGATGTTTTTCCCATAATAGAAACCTGCCCCTTTGACCTCACTGGGGCTCTTGTGAGCCTATCTCCTTTCTCAGCTTTCCAGCATCATTAATTTCCTTGATTTTTCACAAAAGAGAAGGGGCTGTGGCAAAAGGGATAGCCACCCTTTCAGTGTTAAAGGGACACGTCCCCCGGATCACCCCCTGAGAGCGATGAGCTCTCATTTATCAGTTGGGGCTTTTCAAAACATGTGAGAACCCCACTTCAGATGTAAACACAGACCTTGTCAGACCCTGTTTCTGTAGAGTCACAGCAGGGTTTGCTATAGAGTGAGTAAGCTAGCCAAAGAGGCCAAAAGATCTGACTAAAAGCAGGGGGGAAGTGGAGGAGAGTTAATAAAAGACCCAAGGGAGTTTGTAGAAGCCCAATCAGAACAAATGCAAAGAATCACATTTTTTACTTGCATGACTTCAGCTTGCTAGTGCCCAAGATTATTTTAGCAAAGTAAAAACTGCTAAACATGAAACATAATATTAGATCATCAATATAGAAAGTTGTGATAGAAAAATCTGTTAGACATTCTAGTCCATAGCCCCTGCCTCTCCCCTGGCCTGTGTAGGGTTAATATTAATTGGGTTGAATCAAGGTAGTCAGCTCTGGTAAGGCAATATTAAGAAAACCTAACAAATGTGCTTTAGAAATCTGATAAAGTTGGCCTTTGCCTTCAGGGCAGAGGGCAAGGGGCAGGGAAATCCACTCATCTCCTGGTTTTAAGATAGCAATAGAAATCACACACAGACCCCCTCATTATTTATTGTGGTAACAGTTAAAGCCTTGAGATTTTGCAATTGTTGTTGTTTTTGATCTCCCCCACAAGTATTCTGTGTGCTTCAAAGACATGTAGAAAACCGGTCCGAGCTCTGCCAATCATTCTCTGTTTTAATCTTTCTATGATGCAAACAAATGAACTTTCCAGCACCTAACAGGATCCCCTGTTTTGTTAACTTAATCAGCTGTGCCCCTGAGGAGAGGAGTGTCTTTTTGGTTTTGCTGATTTCCAATAGACTACTCAGGGTTTCAACTGTTGTCCTCCTCCACTGAAAATAGCCACGGCAGACATTTTTGATGGTGCCAGTAAGTTGCCCACATGGACACTGTGAAGGCAGCAAAATGACAGAAATGCTATGAAAAATGATGTGCTAAATTTAAATTCCACATGAATGTCACAGTGTAAATAGCCCCTGCTTGGTACAGTAACACATCAATAACACCAAGTATTCCAGTCCGAAACTTGCAGCATGGTCTAGTGCTCAGAGAAGCAGGGCCAAGAGTGATGATTCCCATGCTCTAGTCCAAGCTGTGCCACTGATTTGCTGGGTGACCTTGGGCAAGTCACTTGTCCTTTCTATCCCTCAGTATTTTTATCTGTGAAATGGAACTCATGTTTACTTATCTGCCACGCAGGAGGAGTGGGGGGTGTTGTGTATGTGGCTAAATTAATGTTTGTTAAGTACTTTGAAATACATTATTATTTCTCCAAAGGTAGCCACAGACAGGCTGAGATGCAAAAGGAGGTGGCCTGGCCTATGTCATGGAGATAATCTGAGTATAAAGCATATATGTTAATAAATGGAAAGTAGTAAATCACAGGGAAAGGTATTCCTGTGGCATAGAACTGGTGTAACTCTTAAAGGCCATATATACCACTGCATTTTATGACCACATTCACTTACAAAACCAGAACTGCTTTGGGAAGCAAACCTTACATGTTTTCTTAGCTGTTGGTGGTGGTAATAATTCCTGTTGAGTTGGATGACTTCATACAGAATTATTAAGGCCAAAGGTTCATGTGCTCCTCTATACTCTCCTTGATGTTGATTAAAATGCAATTATAGCCCAGAGCTGAGAATGCTTGTGGTTTCTCAAAGCTATTGGTGCTCTACTTTTTCTATGAAGGTAGTTGCTTTTATCAAATCTGCCTCTCCCCATTAGGGCTGCCTGATACCACTGTTTTCTAGCAGCATAGTGTTACATGGGATAACTGGCTCCCTTTCCCTCTGAGATTTACACAGTCACCTCTGTCATATATCGAACCCCATTGGGTTTGCAACCCCGCATCTGTCTCCTAAACTGGCTCTTGCTTTTCCAGTTACCATTGCAATACGCTGTTGCTACTTTGCAAAAAAAAGGTGGGGCTGAATATAACCCTGCCTGTGGAATGGCTCCATAGCATGTTTAAAAAGTCCAGCAGTATGATTAGAAATCCAGCAATAATTAAAATAAATAACAGTAAAATATTTACATTTATATAGCCCCATTACTCCAAGGAGCCAGATTCCTTTAAAGACTCTCATCGGTATGTAGATCTTTCTATGGACATTCACAGTCTCTGTATTGTTTTCTCTGTCCACTTGGTCCGTAAGATCCAGGTATTTTGCCCCATTTCTTCCTCTGTTTTGGACAGGAAATGAGGAAGAAGACTGTATCCAACTGAAGCCGCAGGGGGAGTTTAGGGAAGCAGAGTAGAGATGCCCTTGTGGGAATTTGGTCAGGACAAAAAAGTTTAACATCCCAACTGTTGCAGAACCTGCCCTGGGATGTTTAATGGTCAGGACTCCTGTTTTATCTCTCATCATAGAAGTACCCCACTTCTGAGTAGGGTTCAGGCTGTTCTCTGGGATCCCTCACTCTCCTCTGCCTCTTTGCTTCCTCCACCACTGCTCTCTCCAATGCACTGTGTTGTGGCAATGCTACCTCTGTCTGGTGGGGGTAGATTGTGGTCCTATTTGTCAGCACATGGTTCGCTGAAGGGCAATGCAAGGTATTCCTCACGTTAAGCTGAACACACTGCCGCCCCTGTGTTCCTAGTGCACCATCTGTCCTGTATCTAAAATTATCATCAGCTCTTGAGAATCCACTCCTTTCTATTTCATCCAGCATATTCAAAATATTACTGAAATTATTTATCTCCATCCAGCCCTGTAGAACTTCTACAATTAGCCCAATTAAAAGAGCTAATTGGGAAGCACCAAATTACTTGAGACGGACAGTCATCAGATTAAAGTTGTTTTGTTTTCAACAATTATACCCAAGAGTCTCCTTTTAAACTTGACTAATTGTAACAACCTATTTATTTTCCCAGTTATGTTGTGAAACAACAAAGCATGTTTTGCCAACAGTCCCCAACTATGAACACAAGGAGTGACAGCTGCAGAATGAAAAGTGCTTCCCTTCCACACTTGGAAGATTGCTACATTTACAGTATATGCTGCAATGTTTTGCAAACATCTCTGCTAGAGACTCATGTTAGCATCTCCCTGAAGTTACAGCACACCTACCTTGGTGTTGGGATGATTCAGCAGAGAAAGTAAAATGGTCACAGTCAGCAAGGCCTTTTCTTAAGGGAATAACATTTATAACAAGCAATCACAATACATTATCATGAGCAGAAAGAGTAAACAGAAAATTCCCTAGCCTGGGATTCAACCCAGCCCTATAAGCCCCTTGGCTGGAAAACTTACCCAGTGAGGAAAAAAAAGACATAGATACCTATCTTTCTCTTCAGAAGCCACTCTTATTGTCCTACCCCAGTGCTTGTGCAAAAAGTTTGAGTTAATTCCTTGTTCACCAGGAACCATGTAGTTCCCTTGCATCTTCTCAGCTGTGTTTCAATAAGGTCCCAATTACATTATGAAATGAGTAATTGCATGGTCCAAGGTTATAGCACAGGTTGGGGACACAGTCCAGTTGCATCTACACTGCATGACTGAACTGCATGTTCACTGTGTTGAACAGCTACCATGGTGCAAACAGGGCTGACTTTATGCACTGTGCAATTATTCACACCCCCTGTTCAGTCCAGTGAGGTGCTGAACTGTCTCAATTCCTATGGTGCTCAAGGGCTGGAATTCTTAGAGGATTTGGCCCATCCTTCTAGTTAATGTATTTGTTCATTTCTTTGTTGGGAAAATTGTAGAGATTACCTCTGTGCTGCCACATAGACTCTGGGAGTCTAGAAGTATATAGCTCTGCCCAGAGGCCTTTATTATTAATGCTATATTCTTCATGACATTGAAACAAATCTCTTGTTATAGTGCCTATTTATCTTTGTCTAACTTTGGTAGATACAAGAGAGTCATTAGAGATTTTACAGTTTATAGAATAACTTTCGGAGAAGAGCCTTGGGAGTGAAGCTCTTACTAGGCCAGTTAACGGCTAAAGATGATCTGTTTTCAAGTACAAGGCATGATTTCAAAGACAGTAGAGCTGCTTTAAACCCCACGACCCACTGTGTGGCCAAGTGCCAGCAACGTCATCCTGACTTTCTTCAGTTTATTTTCAAAATTCCCATTAAAAACACAAAGCATCTCCTGAACTGGCCATAGTGCCCCTGAGAGGCGGGTGGACGCACAATGCATTATTCTCAAGTAAACCCTTCTCCAGCTGAGTAAAGGAGCAGAGATGATGAGCTCCAGAAGGTGGGTCTCCTCTGAGGGGGAGTAAAGGGTGGGGAATGGAGGAAATACCTTAGAGCTTCCCATTATCCTAAAAAAAGTTGCAAAGCATTTAACCAGAGACCTTTCCAGCTCTTTTATTTAAAGAGACAATGTCGAGTTAAAAATCATATTTTTTAAATGGTTGACTGTGTATATTTCACTCATCTGGGATAATAAAATTAGACTAGGCATGTACATTTTCAGGGTCTCATGCACCAATACAAATTCAGTGTTCAGTGTTTGGACTGGAGCCACTGCAGAGACACTTTTCTTTGGGATTTTAATAGCAATTGTCTATTGATCTTGAGTTTTATAAAACTTTATTTTTACAAAACCTACCTCTTGGCCTACATTGGCCCTGCTTCTTTTAAGTAGCCCTCTTTGATCTTGAGAATCTTGCACAAAGCTTGTCTCAGACCTACATTTCTTTCCTTAGGGGCACTTCCTGGTCCAGTTGAAGTCAGTGGGAGTTTTGCCATTGACTTCAATGGGACGAAGATTTGGGAGTCTAGCAATCAACTAGAGGAGACAAAGTCTTGCTTTAGAAATGTTAATGTAGATAGAGTTGGAAAAGTGACTGTACAATGGACATTGCATAAAATGTATTTTCTCATAATGACCTTCCTGTTCAAATTGTCTCTGTTTACATACAAATCAAACACTGGTTTGTCTAACTGCCAGCACTGCAGACTCAGTCTGGGATCTGAAAATCCAGCTGTGTCCTTCTGCACCCGACATCCTTACCAGAAATAAAGGTTCTGCGGTTGGGATTTGCTAACATTGTTGATGATGTGTGAGGCAGAATTGAATACAGCCCGTTCTTCCTCTGAAAGACAATAGGAATAAAACATTTTTGTGTCAATAAAATGAGAAGATACAACTCAAAGCCCCACAGGGAGCAGATGGGTTGAGTAAGAAGATGTCATTTTTCTGTAGTCACTTTTCAGATTCTAGCCAATGTTAATAATGAGGCTTTGGAGAACTTAGGCTCTTGTTTCTTCAGGAGCCTTTATGGGGTTTACCTATGTAAAATGCTGCAACCCTGGAATAGACTGAACTATGTCTGTCATTGAAACAGGTGCATAGTCTCTAGATTTCCCATTCATCACTTTCAAGTTAACAGAAAGAATCAGTGCTAGTTGCTGGGTTTTAACTGGTCTCTTCTGAGCCAGTACTCTCTTAACATCTTTCCTCATGTCAACTCAAAAAGTGAGGACTGAGGGGTATCATAAGAACACAAGAAAGGCCTTACTAGGTCAGGCCAGTGGTCCATCTAGCCCAGTATCCTGTCCTCTGACAGTGGCTAGTGCCAGATGCATCAGAGGGAATGAACAGAACAATTCTCGGCTGATCCATCCCCCGTTGTCCAGGCCCAGCTTCTGGCAGTCAGAGGTTTAAGGACATCAGGATTATGCTTTCCAGTGTGCATTACTTTGCACGTATCAACTTTGACTTTCATCTGCCATTTTCTTGCCCAGTCACCCAGTTTTATGAGATACCTTTGTAACTCTTTGCAGTTAGCTTTGGATATAACTATCTGGAGTAATTTTGTAGCATCTGCAAATGTTGCCACCTCACTGTTCACCTGCTTTTCCAGATGTTTTATGAATATATTGAACAGCACGGGTCCCATTACAGATCCTTGGGGGCTCTGTTATTTACCACTCTCCATTGTGAAAACTGACCTTTTATTCCTACCCTTTGTGTTTCTATCTTTTAACCAGTTACTGATCTCTCTTATCCCATGACTGCTTACTTTGCTTAAAGCCTTTGGTGTGTGATCTTGTAAAAGGCTTTCTGAAAGTCCAAGTGCACCAGATCAACTGGACCACCCTTGTCCACATGGTTGTTGGCACCCTCAAAGAATTCTAGTGGATTGGTGAAGCATGATTTCCTTGTAAAAAGCCATGTTGACTCTTCCCCAACATAGAATCGTAGGATTGTAAGAGACCTCGAGAGGTCATCTAGTCCACTCCGCTGCACTCATGGCAGGACTAAGTATTGTCTAGACCATCCTTGACAGGTGATTGTCTGACCTGCTCTTAAAAATCTCCAATGATGGAGATTCCACAACCTCCCTAGGCAATTTATTCCAGTGCTTAACCACCCTCCAGTTAGGAAGTTTTTCCTAATGTCCAATCTAAACTGCCCATGCTGCAATTTAAGCCCATTCCTTCTTGCTCGATCCTCAGACATTAAGGAGAACAATTTTTCTCCCTCCTTTTTGTAACAACCTTTTATGTGCTTGACAACTGTTATCATGTCCCCTCTCAGTCTTCTCTTCTCCAGACTAAACAACCTGAATTTTTTCAATCTTGCCTCACAGGTCATGTTTTCTAGACCTTTCATAATTTTTGTTGCTCTTCTCTGGACTTTCTTCAGTTTGTCCACATCTTTCCTGAAATGTGGCACCCAGAACTGGACACTGTACTCCCAATGAGGCCTAATCAGCAGAGAGTAGAGTGGAAGAATTACTTCTCGTGTCCTGTTTACAACACCCTGCTAATACATCCCAGAATGATGTTTGCTTTTTTTTGCAACAGTGTTACACTGTTGACTCATATCTAACTTATTATACACTATGACCACCAGATCCCTTTCTGCAGTACTCCTTCCTAGGCAGTTATTTCCCATTTTGTATGTGTGAAACCGATTGTTCCTTTCTATATGGAGTACTTTGCATTTGTCCTTATTGAATTTCATCCTATTTACTTCAGACAGTTTCTCCAGTTTGTCCAGATCATTTTGAATTTTAATCCTATCCTTTAAAGCACTTGTAATCCCTCCCAGCTTGGTATCATCTGCAAACATTAGAAGTGTAATCTCTATGCCATTATCTAAATCATTGATGAAAATATTGAACAGAACCAGACCCAACACTGATCCCCATGGGACTCCACTCATTATGCCCTCCCAGTTCGACTGTGAACCACTGATAACTACTTTCTGGGAACGGTTTTCCAACCAGTTATGCACCCACTTTGTAGTAGCTCCATCTAGATTGTATTTCCCTAGTTTGTTTATGAGAAGATCATGCGAGACAGTATCAAAAGCTTTACTAAAGTCAAGATATACCACATCTACTGCTTCCCCCCATCCACAAGGCTTGTTACCCTGTCAAAGAAAGTTATTAGGTTGATTTGACATGATTTGTTTTTGACAAATTCATACTGATTCTTACTTATCACCTTATTATCTTCTAGGTGTTCCCAAATTGTTTGCTTAATTATTTGCTCCATTATGTTTCCGGGTACTGAAGTTAAGCTAACTGCTCTGTAATTCCCAGGGTTGTCCTTATTTCCCTGTTTATAGATGGACACTATATTTGCCCTTTTCCAGTCCTCTGGAATCTCTCCCGTCTTCCATGAGTTTTTGAAGATCATCACTAATGGCTCAGATATCTCCTCAGTCAATTCCTTGAGTATTCTAGGATGTATTTCATCAGGTCCTGGTGACTTGAAGACATCTAACTTGTCTAAGTAATTTTTAACTTATTCTTTCCCTATTTTAGCCTGTGATCCTACCTCATTTTCACTGGCATTCACTATGTTTAACATCCAATGACTACTAACATATCGTGTTCATCTGTATGTCTGATAATTCTGTTCTTTGTTATACTTTCAACCAGTTTGCCTGGTTCTGAAGTTAGGCTCACTGTCCTATGTTTGTCTCTGAAGTCTTTTTAAAAAATCTACATTACATTAATTATCCTCCAGGCATCTGGTACAGAGGCTAATTTTAGTGATAGGTTACATACCACAGTTAGTAGTTCTGCAATTCATATTTGAGTTCCTTCGGAACTCTTGAGCGAATACCAACTGGTGCTAGTGACTCATTACTGTTTAAATTATCAATTTGTTACATAACTTCCTCAATTTATACCTCAGTCTGGGACAGTTCTTCAGATCTGTCATGTAAAATGAATGGCTCAGAAGTGGGAATCTCCCTCACATCTTTTGCGGTGAAGACCAATGCAAACAATTAATTTAGCTATTCTGCAGTGGCCTTGTCTTCCTTGAGCTCCTTTAGCACCTCAGTCGTCCAGTGGCCCCACTGATTGTTTGGCAGGCTTTCTGGTTCTGATGTACTTAAACACATTTTTGCTGTTAGTCTTTGTGTCTTTTGCTAGTTGCTCTTCAAATTCTTGTTTGGTCTGCCAAATTATACTTTTACACTTTACTTGCCAGAGTTTATGCTCCTTTCTATTTTCCTCAGTAGGATTTGAGATCCAATTTTGTTTGTCTCCAAATAGCAGGCTATCAATCTGGTGTATATTCTTGTTTCATAAAGCAGAGGTACCCAAACTTTGCTTAGAAGAGGTTTCTATTGGCAGTTTGCCAGGAGCCCAAGGGTAGCACCTGATTTTCATGAAATAGAGTAGATTGCTATCATCCTTATCTTGGATATGGAGTGGTAGCTGGCAGAGACTACAGGTCCCAGAATATTATGTGTTGTCTTGATCTGGGAAGAGCCACCTCACTTAAAGGTGGAGCATCACATGCTGAAAACTATAGTCTGTACAGGGTCACCTGCTTGTTTTGAAGATGATAGCTGAAGGCTGCAGTTGGGAACCCCAGGACTCAAATTTGATCTGCAGGTTGCACTTGGGTCACTCCACTGCACAGGTATTTTTTTTTTTTGTAGAGCTACATAAGGGTTAACCATAGGAGTTGTTTCCTTCTTTCTTTTCCTTAATGAAAACCTGTCTCAGCAGGTGATTGAAAGCCTGTCTGGCTGCTTGTATAATTAGATGCACTAATGGAGGGTGTTCCTAGCCTCTTTCAGAATCAAAACATGCTTCAAAATCTCTGTTCCCAAAGTGCCTCAGTCTTTTACTGGAGTGCGTGTTCACCTTGTTCCAGGCTGCAGCACGATCCAAGGCCTGACTCTGAAGTGCCCTGTTCAGCGAGACTTCCCATCTGTATTCTCTTGGCTGGGTTTTGACACGACACATCCGTTGTTTGTGCATTCTATGACCATCTCAGAACTCCCCCAGGCATCCCTGCCTATGAAATGTTGTATCACCAAGGAATTTAATCCATTAAAAGTGAACGCTTTAATTAAACAGTTGGAGCAAATACAGTCAGCTCTCATCTTGTGAGCCCATGCCAGATAGTTGGGATTACAAAACTTGGGAAGAACAATGGTCCTTTCTGTAGCTGTTTGACTAAACTATGTTGGAAAAATGAAGCTCAGTTGTTTTTTCCACTAGAATCAATGAAGAATTTATGTTTGCAGAGAAAGAGTATATGGAAAGGCAACATTGCTAGATGGTTAGAGGACAGGGCCGAAAACCAGAAAGCTTGGATTCTCTTCCCAGCTCTGCCAAGCTGTGTGACCTTGGACAGCCCCCCCTGTGCTTCAGTTTTCACATCTGATAATTCCTACCTTTTGGGGTGTTGTGAAGATTAACTTATTACTGTTTTTATATTATCTCGACGGTATGAAATTGCTGCTTAAGTATTGTCACTAGGTTTTTTTCTTTAGACTCAAAGGGTTAATTTCTTTCCGTAAAGAGTGAAATCTGATTTAGGTTTGAAATGGGAGCAGGGAAGGCGAAGAATTTGATTCTGCAGGAAACTAGGTCAGCAGGTTTTTATTATCGTGCTTGACAGACCAATATGGTTTTCATTTAGGAATGAACTCAGCTGACATTGTGTATGGTCAATTTCCTCTTCCCAGAAACCAATCCTCAAACATCACTCTGTACATTATGGCTTTCACATATCGAACGTAAGGAAGTATTTACCCATAGGAGCTCAAGCACTAGTGAGTTTGTAAAACCATTTTTAGAGCTGTCTATCACAAGTTATCCAGGAGCTCAGAAGGCTCTACTGTATTTGGAGGAGGGGAACACAGTAAGATTTGAATCTTGTTGGTCACAAAAAGTGTTTGAAGAGGGACCTCCTTGATTTTCATATTTACCCCAACACATCTACTAATGATGCTTCTTATAGCCCATGTGATTTATTGCATTTGTTTGGACAGGATCAGATTCTGATCTCTGTCACACCAGTGTAATTTTCTCGTAACTCCATTGCTGTCACTGGAATTACATCAGCATTATGGAGATCAGCATCTGGCACTATGAACTGCATTTGGCTGGGGCCCATTCTGCCATACTTTTCTATCAGCAATGCTATACAAAGACTTGAATTGCCTGATGTCTTTCAGCTTCTTCTAGACATCGCCATTTGCTTACAGCTTTCTTGGGCATCAAACCCTAGTTAACTGCAGACTTTGGAGTGTATTCTCTTTGTAACTCCCTGTAAATACACATCTGTGTTCTTTAGATCTGTTTACTCAAGTAATTCTGGCAGACATTATACTCATTTGAGAACTGGGCTCACTTTCTTCACGGATTCTCTTAATTCTACTAAATAAGGGTTATTGAGAACCCCTGTGTCTCTGACTTTAAAAAAAACCTCTTTGGTTTGAAAGACAGTCCTCAGGTAGAGATAGTGTAGATTAGAATGGCTATTTTAAATGTTTAGGAAATTCTGAGTGTTAGGATTTAAGGCTGAATATTTATTTCCAAATGTATGCTCTCATTGTTTTACAGATTTGAATATGATTTAATGGATTTTCAGCATAATAAAAACATCTAATTCTGTACTGTACCAGTCTTTATTCAGTTCTGGCACTAAGAAACCCAGACATTTTTGCAAACCAAGTTTGGCTTTTAAAGCTGAACAAGGAAAATACAGGCAGTACTGAGACGAACAGACAGCATTGGCTTGCCA